CCAGCTAAAAATAATGTTTGTAGACCAAAGTCGTACCCAAAATTAACGTCAATATTTAATATACAGGGGATGTCATTTCCACCCTCGTGTAAAGATATTGCGTTATTTGAAAAAAATTATCGTGAAATAAGTGTCAATATTTATGGATTAGACAAGCATTATAATGTAACTGGTCCTTTATATGTTACCAGTTGTAAGAAAATGAAACACATTAACTTGCTATATTTCTAACAAAACAACAAGGCTCACTACTTTTTGATAAAAGATCTTTTACGTCTAGTTAGACGACAAGTCTCACATCATAAAGGCCAAATGTATTTGTGCGATATGTGCCTACAGTTTTATACTAGTAAAATAAAATACTCTTCACATAAATGTTCTAAAATTCTAACATTGATGCCAGATAAAAACAGTTTCTTAAAATTTATGCATTATGAGAGACAACAAAAAATTAACTTTGTCATATATGCAGAGTTTGAATGTTTATTATATGATTTTATTGAACCGAATACTGATAAAAATACAATAAGAAATAGATGCCACCGACCATCGTGTTTTGCTTATTATATATGTTGTTCTCATGACAAAAGTTTGAATAAGTTTGTAACGTATAGAGGGCCAGACTGTAAAAGTATTTGTAAAAAAATTGATTAAGGATGCACAGTTCATTCATAAGATATTAATTTCAAAAATGCCTATGAAACCAATGTCCAAAGAACAAACGGATGATTGCCGTAATTCAACCATATGTCACATTTGCAACCATTTATTATTCGATGATAAGGTGTGTGACCATGATCATATTACTGGTGAATATAGAGGCGCAGCTCGTTCATATTGTAATTTATCGTTTAAAGTATGTTCATTCATTCCTGTCATGTTTCATAACTTATCTGGTTATGATGCGCATTTATTTATTACAGAATTATCTAAATACGATGGTGAAATTAAAATAATTCCTAAAACAAAAGAGAAGTATTTATCAATAACAAAAATCATTAAAATATAGTAATTTATATATTCTTTTCAGTTTCTTAGTTCAAGCATTGATATTTTGAGTAAAAATTTATCATACGAAGACTTTACGCATTTGTCGTTTCATTATCCTGACAAGGACCAATTCAATTTAATAAGAACCAAAGGTATATATCCATATGAATATGTTAATTCATGGCAGAAATATAATGAAACCGAGCTGCCATCAAAAGATTGTTTTTACAATAGCTTAAAAATGAAAAATATCACTGATGATGATTATAAACATGCTCAAAATGTTTGGAAATGTTTTAATATTAGTTCTATTGGTGAATACACAGATTTGTATTTAAAAAGTGATGTACTTTTACTGTGCGATATATTCGAAAATTTTAGAAAAATATGTTTAAAGAATTATAGTCTTGATCCCGCATACTACGTCACTACACCTAGTCTTAGTTGGGACGCTATGCTTTTCTACACAGGTGTTCATTTAGAACTAATTAATGATTTAGAAATTTATGAAATGATTGAAAAAGGTATACGTGGAGGGCTAGCACAGTGCACTCAACGCTATGCCGAAGCTAATAATTTATTTATTTATTTATTTATTTAAGGTTTACCAACGTTTGTGTTCAATATTACATACATTCTAGTAACAATAAATTTTATGTTAAATAACTAATTGTCACAAACACTTATAGGTAAACACAACATGCACTAGAACATAGAGTAAGTAAGAAACTACACTTTTACACTAGACTATGAGTAAGGAAGTTACTTTATTATTTATACCAATTAATTATTTGAAAAAGAAAAACAAGATCAGACTATTATACGTATGTTAAAAAAAAAATTAACTCCACAGTTCTAAAAGAGTCCTACGGATCTTTGAAAGTGAGTCGTGATAAATATCTATTGGGTTACTATATTTATTTACCAATTTACATATTCTACATATTGGCGAATTAGAACCGAGAACAGTTCTACGCAGTGGAACGCTTAGTGGAGTGACTCTGTTGCGAGGATATCTAAAGGGTACTCGCAGTTTAATTTTCTCAAGCAGTTGAGGGCAATCTATTTCATGAGATAGTATTTTGGAAATAAAAAAAATATCAATGAGATCTCTACGGTTTTCCAAGGAAGTTACATTGAAATGTGATAGGCGGCTCTGGTACGAGGGCAGTTTCTTTTTAGATATACCAGAACAGTGTAAGAGATGCCATAAAAATCTTTTTTGAATTCTTTCTAAACGCAAAGAATGTATTGCATAGTGTGGTCTCCAGATAACACTCCCATACTCCACAATACTTCTCACTAGATTATTGAAGAGTAATGTCTTAGTTTTATATTTTCGAAAAACTTTACAATTACGGAGCACAAATCCCAACATACGAGAGGCCCGATTCGTGATATCATTTATATGGGGGACAAAAGTTAGTTTACTATCAAATAGGATGCCCAGATCTCGTATTTTATCTAAATTTTGAAGTACAAAACTACCAATGCAATAATTATAAGCAATCTGGTTTTGCTTTCTACAAAATCTTACAGCATAACATTTATTCGAATTTAAAGTCATGCCATTGTTTTTACACCAATCAACTATATTGTTTATATCACTTTGAAGCAATTGTGAAACATTGACTGTATCAATGACCCTGAGAAACTTTAAATCATCTGCATACAAATAAGATTTTGAATATTTCAAACAATTAGGAATGTCATTTACATATATATTGAATAGGATTGGGCCCAAGTGAGATCCTTGAGGCACGCCTGAACAGATATTAACTAAATTTGATTGGAAACCATTTACAACTATGTAAAAGTTACGATTGTGCAAATAAGACTCCAACCACTTCCACAAGGAAGTACAGAATCCGTAGTTCAATAATTTTTGCAATAGAATATTATGTGGAACACAGTCAAAGGCCTTCCTAAAATCGGTATATATGACATCAATCTGTTTATTGAAGTCCAAGGCTTCAAATAGAGTTTCAGAAAAATCCACTAAGTTTGTGGTCGTGGATCTATTTTGGACAAATCCGTGTTGATAGTCAGTGAGAAATTGTTTATTATAGCTAACTATATATGGACAAATCAATGATTCCAATATTTTGGCTAAACAGGACAAAATTGAGATGGGTCTATAGTTATGCACCATACCTTCACAACCAGATTTAAATACGGGTACAATTTTAGCTGTCTTCCACTTTGATGGGAATGTGCCAGTAGAAAGTGATGTATTAAAAATCACTAATAGTGGATCCACTAAATACTCGGCACATCTTAAGATAAATATAGGTGGGATTCCGTCTGGGCCAGCACCCTTATTTCCATCGATACTTTTTAATTTTTTAAAAACCTCATCACGACTGAGTGTGGATATACACAACTGAACACCTATATTTGCCCCATGCGCCGTTTCAACCAAATCAGCCTGAACCAATGCATTATTATCAATATCATTCGTGTAAACAGATCCAAAATATGATGCAAACATTCCACTGATTTTCTCAGCATCAGATGTTGTCTCCGAATCGTCGGTCATAGACATAGGATATGAACTAGTCCAGAACTAGTACAAATTTCCAGAATAGTTTTGGATTTTCTGATATTTGATTCTCCAAATCCGATACGTATTGATTGTAGCATTTTGTAACTGAACGCGAGCAACGTAAGCTTAGTAATTTCAGTTCCAACTCATCTCGTGGATTTTTATATTTTCTAAAGCGAACACGGATGCTCTGTTTTTCTTTTAGCATTCTTATAAGATTTCGATTGAACCATGGTGGAAATTTATTATTTTTAAGTTGTTTTTTAGGGACATATTTATGAATAACAGTGCGAATTTTATCATAAAAAATTTCAACATTTCATCTACGTTATTAATACCACAAAACAAAACATTCCAGTCGTGCCTCATGAGTTCACCATGGATTTTGTCGTAGTCAGCTTTCCAAAAGTTAAATTGAATGGTATCCTTTTTATATAGCAGTTTTTCTACGTTCTGTATAGTAACTTCGATATTTAGAGGAGGGTGTAATTTATCAATGATGCTTAACTCAGTATGTGATAGTTTTACTGCACAACCAGTAAAACTCGATAACACCAGATCAAGAGTTCTTTTTGAACAATTGACTATATTATTAAGCTGTTTTATTCCATTTAATAGCATGAAATCTATTAACGGTTGACTCAATCTAGGTACAGGGTAGTCACTCGAAACTTCCAACATTCCCCAGTTAATGCCACCCAAATTGAAATCCCCGACAATGAGTTGATTATTAGAGTGTTCCATTATAGAATTGCAGTTATCTACAAAGTGATCTATTTCGGCGCATTTTACGGGAGGGGGGAGATAAACAGCACACAAAGCCAAGCCCTTCATCTGTTCTGACGATGAGAATTCTAAAGTTACCCATAGATCTTCTAGAGATGTTTCCCAAATGTGCATCCTTTTAGAACAGAAACGTTTTGATACAGCAATTAAAACTCCCCCTCCATCTTTTTTTGAACAAAATTTTGTCTTAGTCCTATCTTTCCGGTAAACAATATATCTATTGTCGAAAAGTTCGCTACTTGCAACAGAGTCATTCAACCAAGTTTCTGTGAGTATTATAACATCATAGTTATGAGAGAGAACCTGACAATAAAAGTCGTGTATTTTAGTTCTTAAACCACGAACATTCTGGTAGTAAATATTTAGTTGAAGTTCTTTTAACATTCTAATGACCATATACAATTGTTACAAATAAAGAAATAAAAACTAAAAACCAAAATCACTGTATTTTTTTTAACATTTCCATATTTCTAATGAGCATGTAATCCGTATCATCATTTTTTCTTAAAAATATTTTGCCGTTCCTTATCCAAGTGTACTTGTATCCTTTGTCCTTGGCTACTCGACGTGCCGCTGCATGCAAGGCCTTATTCATAGGTGACAAGTGTTCCAAAAGATATATAGGTGTCGAAATACCAGGCAACCCCAAATGTGAGCTATTCAGCTTATTCTGATTGTTTTACTTGTTGAATTTGATTGTGGATGCCAGGAGTTTATCTCGTAACTTAGGAGAGGCCAGTTGCACGACAATTGAGCGAGGCCGTGTGCTTGAACGATAAATTTTTGCCGTACGTGTGCAATTAAGAATATCGTTGCTGGTGATGCTGCAACCAACCACCTTACCAAGGTCATTAATTATTTGAAATAAATTTCCGTTTTTATGTTCAGGAACGCATTGTAATTCTATATTAGACTGACGAGATTGCTGTTCAACCTGACTTAAGCGATGACCCAGATCTTCGACGGTAGATTTTAATTCATTATTCTCTTTCCTTAATTCGGTAATAAGTGATTGATTGGCTTCATGAATTTTCTTCAATTCATCATATTGCTTACCAATAAAACACATAGATTCCTTTATCTGCGAAAGTTCAGATTTTACAAGCTTTAACTCTTCGTTGATAGTCTTGCTCATATCTGATCGAATCTGAGAAAAATTTTCATTTATATTTTTAGTCATGACATCCAATATATTCTGTATGGCGTCAGTAGACATGGAAACCTTGGTCTTATCTACAGGTGGCGAAGAAAGAGCTTGTATTTTACTGTTTCTGCCAGCAGAAACTTCCTGAATCGGTGTACTATCTTTTTTCATAAATCTGGGTGTATTACTGACGCATTCAGGGCAGCTCCATACTACTCGCATCTCCGCAGTAAAAAAAGAACTATCAAGGGCAATGCATGCATTATGAAATTTCTTCTTGCATTTAGTACATACAATGAAGTCTTCATTACCATTTGTATTCTTTGGAATGCAACAACCCCAACCAGATTTCGTCATTTTCAATTATCAATATAAATTGTCTTTGTAAATAAAAAATAAAAAACAAAAAAAAATAATATTTACTTACCGAATTTCGATGATTCCAAACCGTCAACATATTTGATATATCTTGACTGTAACAATCTTTACGGTTATGCTATGACAAAGAAGTTACCCATATCAGATTTCAAATTTATGGCACAGGAGGATATTTTATATCTGCCCAAAAATCAGGAACTCTCGATGAAATGGTGATGGAGTCCAAAGATGATGAAGTCTCTGGCTTAACTTCGGGGTTGTGTTCCGAAACACGCGCTTGAGAACTTTCATTTTGTGGATTCATTGTTTATACTGCACTTTTTAATAAAAAAAATAAAAAGTGATATAAATGTTAATTAAATAAAATGTTCAAAACAACTAAAAATGTAATGTTCATAACACCGGTCACCACTTTAGGGTATTAAGTGTCGGACCCTATTTATGTTATCAGAAGGTTAAATAAGAAAACACGTCCACTCTGTAACTCCGTATATTAGCGACTAGTTAAAAAGTCTTTGTTCTACAGACGCTGACAAATTGCTTATAAACATCTTACAAACTAAACTGTACATGTACATGTAGGCATATGTGTCCCTACATATTCACTACTATTCACGTATCGTATCGATTTGTTTACATTAACAAATGAGTAATATTTACATTAACAAATTGTGGGAATGCGGCGATCTTGTAAGCTGAGTACAAAAATTGGTTGACAAAAGCTCTTTGTTTAAATCAGTACCCACTGTTATTATTTCTAGAGCTATATCGATGAAATTGAAATCTTGAGAACAGAACTACCTATTATTTAATTTACAAAGACTTCCGCTTGCTTCGTATTTCGTATACTGTTCTCTATGCTTCGTCCGTTCGACTACGCTATAGGTACGTATGTATTACGTTATGCTGTAAAACGTACGGGTGTATTGATAACGCGGCCACTACGCGTAGTTCTCGGCTGTAGAGCTTTACTGGAAGTGACCTCGTTATCTAAACTAGAATCGTTACTCTTATTAAAATTCGAAGTATAACTAAAATCTTTATCACTATTTATAAAAAATGCTGGTTTTAATCTTTCTATTGAAAAAGTTTTTGTCTTATCTCCTATTTTAATATCGAAAGTTTTGCCTTTCCGACTTACAACGTCGTAAGGGCCATCATAAGGAGGTTGCAAAGATTTACGAAATACGTCATTTCTTATGAATACACTCTTACAACTATTTAATTCGCTAGGCAGAAATAACGAACGTGAATTACCATGACTTGACGGTTTAGGTCTCAAACTTTTAATGGAATCGCGAAGATTTTGTAAATATTCCGAATCCTAGCAATTTAATTTGGAATCTTCATAAAAATCACCTGGCAAACGAATTGTTTTACCATAAGTTAACTCTGCTGCACTAACGCCACTGTCACTGCGGGTTGCGGTTCGTAAGCCTAACAACACGACTGGAAGCTCGGTCACCCAGTTACTATTGCAGTTTAAACGTGCCGTAAGTGACACTTTTAGTGCTCGATGCCATTGCTCAACTATGCCGTTACTCTGCGGATGATATAGTGTTGTTCGCATTTTAAAAATACCTAGGTACTTCATTAGCTGACTGAAAAGATCACTCTCAAATTGTCTACCCTGGTCGCTAGTAAGCTTCGAAGGGCTTCCAAATCGAGATATCCAGCCTTCAAATACTACCTTGGCTACTGTTTCAGCTGTAACATTGTGAACTGGAAAAGCTTCCTGCCATCCGGTACAACGATCTATCATTGTTACGCAGTATCTATGTCCATCTGCCGATGTAGGCAACGGGGCCTACAATATCTATATGAACATGTTGGAAACGGTCTGCACGCTCAAACTCTCCTAATCCTGCTATCGTATGCCTATTAATTTTTGACCTCTGGCAACTAAAACAGGTTCTAGTCCAACTCGCTATATCCTTAAGCATATTAGGCCAAAAGAAAACGTTGTTTAATTAATGTTCTGGTAGTCTTAACACCGGGGTGGACTTAAATCGTGAACCGAATGAAAAGCAATTTTCCTGAATTTATCTGGTAAATATGGTCTAATTCTGTTTAGATGAAATTTCGCAATAAATATATTTTTCGCAGTCTGGCAATAATATTTGTTTTAAATTGTAATTTACTATCTGTTGCTTGCAACGCTTTGCTGTAGGTATTCGTCACTAAGTTGTTGCTCAGCTATTTCTCTAAAATCGAGTAATGTAGGACAACTGATCGTTTCTATCCGCGAAAGTGTATCCTGCGACCTACATTTTGCTCACCGCTGATATGACTAATATCGGTGGTAAACTCACTAATGTAAGATAATTGACGAATTCTTCTAGGGCTTTCTTTGTCGTTATTTAATTTTGAAAATGCAAAAACGAGAGGCTTATGGTCAGTATAAATAGTCAGTACACGGCCTTCCACTAAATTTTTAAAATATTTGATAGCCATAAATACTGCTAAACAATTCCCTATCATAAGTAGAATATTTCGTTTCAGCTTGTGAAAGTTTTTTTGAAAAATACCCTAATGGTTGCCAATTGTTGTTATTTTTCTGTTGTAATACAGCACCTACACTAGAATCCGAGGCATCGGTCATCAGCGCTAAATTAGCATCTGGTAAAAGATAAGACAGTGTAGCGGCGCTTTGCAAGCTTTCCTTACACTTCTTAAATGCTTCGACAGCCTTATCAGTCCACACAATCAAAGTTTTATCGCGTTTTTTTTGTATTGTGCAAATATTTATTCAATTCGAATTGATATTGAACAGCGTTTGAAATATGTGCACGATAAAAATTTAACATACCGAGAAAACGGCGTAGTTTGATCGACTGTCTCGGGTTTCGGGAAATTTACAATAGCCTGTACTTTATCTTGAAGTGGTCGCGCACCCTCCGTAGATAATTCAAATCCTAAAAACTGAAGTGTTGGCTGACCAAAAACACATTTAGATAGATTAATAGTTATTCCATATTTATCAAATCTTTCGAAAACTGCCTTTAAATGTTCTTTATGTTGACTTTCATTTTTGCTCGCGATAATAAGGTCATCGATATAACTGAATAAAAAGTCTAACCCTTGTAGTACTACGGTATCCATGAAACGCTGGAATGTTTGAGCTGCGTTACGTAATCCGAAGATCATGCGCGGAAATTCAAATAGTCCAAAGGGCGTTATAATGGCAGTTTTTTCAATATCCTCCGGGGCAACCGGTACGAAATGATAAGTCGTTACGTCGGGGTCACCACTTTAGGATATTAAGTGTCGGACCCTATATTAATTTATCAGAAAGTTAAATAAGAAAACACGTGCACTCTATAACTCCGTATATTAGCGACTAGTTAAAAAGTCTTTGTTCTACAGACGCTAACAAATTGTTTATAAACATCTTACAAACTAAACTGTACATGTACATGTAGGCATATGTGTCCCTACAACCTACATATTTGTTTCATTTTCTCGCAAAAAGCATTGAAAAATGTTGTAAGAAACTTGAGCGTTAAAGGTTTTTCGAATTCGTGCCAATGATCAATTGGGCCGTTATACGTAAAACCTTCCTTTCCGCACTCGTATCTTAAATAACTATTATTACCATCATTACTGCTTTAGAATAAAGTAAATGTTAATATTTTTAAACATAAATTCGTTTTCGTTTAAAAAATAATTATTAAAAAATGTAAAAAAAATGCGGTCATCATCATCACTTCAGCCAAGAGACGCCCACTGCTGGGCATAGGCCTCCCCCAAAGATCTCCAAAGCGATCCTGTACATCCCGCATCCAGCGGCTTCCCGCGACCTTACCAGATCGTCGGTCCACCTTGTGGGGGGCCTACCAACACTGCGTCTCCCGGTACGCGGTCGCCACTCCAAGACCTTACCGCCCCAACGGCCGTCAGTCCTGCGAGCGATGTGCCCTGCCCACTGCCACTTGAGGTTCGCAATTCTTTGGGCTATGTCGGTGACTTTCGTTCTTTTGCGGATCTTATAATTTCTGATTCAATCTCGCAAAGAAACCCCGAGCATAGGCCTTTCCATTGCCCTCTGAGCGACCTTGAGCTTCCTTATGAAGCCCATCGTAAGCGGCCACGTCTCAGTACCGTATGTCATCACTGGCAACACGCACGAATTAAAGACTTTCGTCTTGAGACACTGCGGTAAATGTTCCGAGAATACACTGCTTAGCTTCCCGAACGCTGCCCAGCCGAGTTGGATCCGGCGATTTACCTCTCTCTGGGAGTTGGACTTACCTAATCGGACTATTTGTCCCAGGTAAACGTACTCGTCGACAGCTTCCAGTGTAGAGCCTCCAACATTCACTGGAGTGGGTACGACATGGGAGTTTGACATTATTTTTGTTTTCTCCATGTTCATTTTAAGACCCACTTGTTGGGAAACTCTACAAAGGTCTTCGAATATTGTGCCTAGATCTTCCATAGTTTCAGCCATGACTACGATATCATCACCGAAACGAAGGTGCGTCATGTACTCGCCGTTTATATTGATGCCAAGTCGTCTCCAGTCCAAAATTTTAAACATGTCCTCCAGTGTGGCAGTGAACAGTTTCGGCGATATAACGTCGCCTTATCTCACTCCACGCTGAAGTCGTATTGCTTTCAAGTTTTGGTCCTGGAGCCGAACTGACATGGTGGCGTTTTCATACAGTGACTGCAGCACTTGGATGTATCGATAGTCTATTTGGCACCTCTAGAGGGACCTAAGCACGGCCCAGGTCTCGACGGAGTCGAAGGCTTTCTTATAGTCGACAAACGCCAAGCATAGTGGCAGATTATACTCTTCGGTTTTCTGTATAACCTGTCGCAGCGTATGAATGTGGTCTATGGTACTGTAACCTTTTCGAAAACGGCTTGTTCAGGAGGCTGGAAGTCGTCAAATCTACGTGCGAGACGACTCGTGATGACTCTCGAAAATAGCTTGTACACATGACTCAGAAGCGTGATGGGTCTGTAATTCTTCAATTGGGCCCTATCGCCCTTTTTAAAGAAAAGCACCACCACGCCCCTGTGCGATGCTTCTGGCGTCTTGCCCTCGAGTATGGCGGAATTAAATAGCTTCTGAAGCGCTTTCCGGACTGGTAGTCCACCCGCTTTCAGAAGCTCCGCTGTGATTCCATCATCCCCCGGCGCCTTGTTGTTCTTGAGCTGTTTGAGAACCACACTAATC